CCCCCCCCCGATCCCCCTACTTTTCCTTTAGTGGACTGTGCTTATAAGACCATAATATCATACTTAATAATATGCAGCTTCACATTTACAGAGCTGTGATATTTTTTGTGCGGATCAAACTAAACTTTGTACCAAAAATTCCTCTTGTCCGTCATTTGTTTTTTGTTTTTTTAACCCTTGATATGACAGGCATACAAAGATGACAATGACAATGACAATCTTTATTCATCTCACAGGGAGAAATTTATGAGCTCACATATATGCACTCTCAAACACATCCACATAAATAGACACACATATCCACAGAGGTAGAATCTGTACACAGGGTTGTGTTGTTACTACAAGAATTTAGTCTAAACGACATTTCACAAGCATTAGAATGGCAGAGGGTTAAACATTTAAACTGGGGAATGGGTTAAAAAGACATTTAAATCATGGTATTGCTCAAAATGATTAATGAGCATGAATAAGAAAGGAAACATTTCAGATATCAGGTTAGACATAATTCAGAGAAGCAACACACACAAAACGAGCCACTCTTGTTGCATTTAGCTATTTTTAGATATGACTCTCCTCCAGGCAGTGTACTGAAACTTCAGCATATTTTTAAACAAAAATCAATTCTGATCCTCAAAGTACCCCACAAATTTGAAAGGATGGATTTCTCTGTAGCTAGGGAGTGAAAGTCATTTTTATTTCACTTTCTAAACCATTTTTTCCATAAAGCCTAACATCTTTAGCCTACAGGCTTGTCTCTAAATAAAAAACAAAAACAAAACAAAAACAACTATGACGTCAGGACTAAAGCAGATAAATCAACATTATATATATTCTAAACAACTTATAAACATGGAAAAAAAAATCTGATACTTCATACCCATATTGTGACGTAGTCTAAATACGACAAGTGACTCATTTTGTCATGTAGCCACAAATATAGTTAGACCAATAAGACAAGTTTCTTGAAATTGAAAGTAAAAACCCTTACACTACACATTTATGACAGAATAGTTTACATCTAGTACACATATTTGTCAAAGGACAAAGGTCAACATGAAAAAATTAAAAACAATTATTAACACAAAAGGAAAACATTTATGTATCTCAAGATCAAAGAAAAACGACATAAAAAAGAGAAACCTTTAATCAAGCCTGGGAAAATAAGAGAAAGATTACCTTTTCTGTAAAAGGTTTCCTAATTCTCTGAAGGTTACATTTATAAAGTAATGATGTAGACTTGACAACTTGTTCTGCGCCCTAGTTTTTCCCCTCCCCTCCTCTCCCTGCCATCCAAGAAAAGAAAAACCTTGAATGAAAACAAAACTTATGGTAACAACGACAACAAACATGAAAAAGGCCAGGGAAGAAGAAAAAAAAAAGACCCAAAATAGGTTGTTTGAGGATAAGTTTGAGAAAACCCACCTTTTGAGCACAGGTAATCAAATTTTGATCAGCCAGAACTTCTGTTAGCCTTAGGTTGTTTTTCACTGCTTTTGATGCTGTAGATCTTGCATGCATCGGCAGCTGCATTTGATAAGCAGAGTCTGTGTAGTCTATTGGCATTTCAGGAGGGACCTTCTTCACCCTGAAGAATAAGATCAAGAGAAGAACAGAATAAGTTTTTAGTTAAGAATTCGGAAAAAACTAAAATATCAGTGAAAGCTGTCACATTAATACAGTAAGGTCTGAAAATTAAAGCCACAAAGCTTTATTTATTAACATCAAGATTTTAACAATTTTGTTTTTCTTTCAAAAGAGGCTAAAAGGCATTTTTTCCTAAAAATTCATAAGTGTATCCTATCTCTATGTTAATGCAATTAAATAACAAAACTCTTTAATAAGGAGGCATGGGGAGAGAGAGAGAGAGAGAGAGAGAGAGAGAGAGAGAGAGAGAGAGTGGGAAGGGGGAGGGAGGGAATGAGGAGAGAGAGAGGGAGAGAGAGAGAGGGTGCATGTGTGTGTGTGTGTGTGT